AATAATAATAATAATAATAATAATAATAATAATAATAATAATAATAACATTTCTAAGGCGCCCTTTCCCAAGGGTCCAAAGGCGCTATTTACAAGGTTAAAAATTCGTATCGCGAAAAGAAGTAAAAAGCTAAAAGATAAATTAAAACAAATAACCACAGCAAAATTGTCAATTTAAAAAAGCACGCTTAAAAAAAACTGTTTTCAGCTCTCTTTTAAAGTGTTCCAACATATGCTGGCTTTTACTTGGACTACTTACACGCAGCGATTGTTATGTATTGCAAACGAAGGTAACATGGGGAATCCCAACTGGCATATGACTCCCCTAAGTTGGCTATTTACAAGCCCGGCCGAGGAGTTGAATATGGGGGGAACACACACAAGCTATTTTCTCTCCTTCTCAGACGTTTCTGTTTAATTCATGTAGAGGTACACACGGGAAGACCGAGAAGAGGGAAATTGAAGTCGCGCTGTGCACTATGGGCCCTCCTTTTATGATCCTTTCGAGAGCCGCTAGGAATGGGAGAGCAAGTTATCTGTCATCAGCTTTGGAGTAACATCCACAAAGCCCCTGACTTCGAAAACATTATTGAGATGTTAGTTTCCCTTATGTGAAAGTCTTTTCAATGCCTTCAGCTATTTGGATTTGACTCTTGGTAAGAGCCAAAATCAAATTACCAAAAAATACTTATAAGAAAAAATGTACCATAAAATGAGAAACAATTGCAATTGAGATTAAATGCATGACTTTTGTCCCTTAATAACTTAAACAAAGTACGTGACCTATTTCTCCATGGCTGAGCCAGACACTCACAGTAGCTACCTTATTTACACTTTTTATTAGTTCCCTTTACCAACTCCATGACTTTTTAGAGCACATTTTATAATTTTTCCTCACTAATTTCACTGGTTGAAAATGTATTGTACTTGTGAGGGGAAATTAGATCCTGATCACTTACTATTACTTACTACTCACTTTCAAATTACGAATTCTTTCCTTTCTTATTAATCAGTCTTTTCACGGAGCCATCCCCTAAAATTAACTTGTCGCATTGACTCAACTTGCTTGTACTCAGAGGAAACGTTGCAGGCAAAATACCCCTTTGCCATCATCTTCAACTTCATTATCAGATCCTGGGTTCGAGGCTAGAGCAAAGCGTCCCTTTAAGAACAGGAAAATAACCAATCAGTGCGTCTCTCCAAATGATGCGATTCCCTCCTTCATGTAAGCAGAACAAAGTAACCTGGCCCCGCTTGTTCAAAGGATGGACAACACTAAACACCAGATGAAACACTGTCCAAAAACTAGTGTACTTTTTTTTTCGTGTAGTGTTTTTTTTTTGCGTGTGTGTAGTTTTTGTGTGTGTGTGTGTAGTTTTTTATTTATTTGTTTATTTTTTTATTTACTTTTTTGTCATGTAGTTTATTTTTGCGTAGTTTTTATTTTTTTTGTGTAGTGTAGTGTTTAGTGGCGTTCTTTAACTTTTGAACCAGTGGGACTTAACAAGCTTTTTCAGAGAGTTAGGGCCCCACCCCGTCCGTTATATGACGCTAATCATGGTGCAAAACATACAAATAGAGTCGAGTATGTTTTTCTTAATGAAACTAGATTTTTGAAAATTGCCAATTCAAGCGGAAACTTTCAACAATTATTTTCTTTGGCGCGATCTGAGGGACTGAAACTAGTACTTATTGTCTATGGCTTAGCAAACTCTCGTGGTTTGTCGGCAGTGAGCAATCAGCGAGCGGTTTCTGTTGACTGTAGATATAGATCTACTAGTGTTCTTTGATCGAATGGCTACGCTACTCACTATCTATTCTGTTGTAGCTAGTGAGTAACCTAGCAGTGTACGGTTGTCAACAAAATGGAAGCCGCTTTGCCTTTTCGAAGTGAAACTATCACGCCAGAGTAATCTTACACTCATAACCAAATTGTTAATTATAAAATAACTTAGACACGCAAGTTCTAATTGGCAGGAGCTCATGTCATGGGCTTTTGTGATTGATCAATAGGCTTCCGAGACCTAGTTTCTATTGCACCGGTGAACATCCAGTTCTCGAATATGGCGGCACTACGTGGGCGGATGAAAAATTGCCTTCTGTCTTTATTCTTCTATATTCTGGCGGTCTATATTCTGATCCTAAAGAATATTTGATTATTATAGACGATAATCTAAACACTGAAATACTGATTAAAATGAATTTCAATTCCATCAAAGTCCGATATTTGCATTATGACAGACTTCGAAAAGCTCTTCTGCTGCTTTGAATAGTTGAATATTTCGCTAAAAAAAAACAAACTATTCAGTGATTTTTGTTAACGGCTATCTTATCCACCAATATGTTTAAATCGAATTTGCCACCCTTGCCTTTAGAGAAGGACGCACATAAATAGTCGCGACCAGTTACAAACAGGATTAGCATGATTTGGATCCTACTACTTCTAATAAAATGTAGGCTTCAGGCTAATCAAAATAACTTAAACTGTACAAAAAAGAAACGTTTTCTCATTATTTAAGGAAACTTACTCTTATTTTGCAAACTCAAATGACACGTTATCTCAAATCAGCATAAATGGTGCCCACTGCTTCACTTCAGACTAGCCGTTACCTCTCATCCATTTCATGGCCTCGTGAAGAGATTCACTGGCGCTTTCCCCACGATAAAGATGCTCATAGAAACACCTCATGAACGTTTCTGTTGCTTTGTCATTCAAGGCCCACAGTGCTACCAGAACTGAACGTGCACCGGATCCTAAGAAAGCTCGAGCAATTCCAATAACTCCCTCGGCTCTAATCTGCCCACGACCACTGTGACAACAGCTAAGTACCACCAGTTTAGCTCGCAGTTGAACTTTTGAAATGTCACACATCGTCAAGAGGTACTCTTCGTCTTTAGGAAGCTTATTAGTAGAGCGCACGGGAGAGAGGACAATTTCTCCTCTTTCGGCACTACCATGTGCGGCAAAATGTATAAGACTTACTGTATGTAAACGTTCAAGTACCGCCTGCTTAGTTGCTTGCTCTCCTAACAAAGCTTGAACGCCCAGCAGTCGCCCAATCATCTCTGCTTCCTTTCTTGCAAAAGGCAATGGTGTAAAGGTTTTTCGTCGATCATTGTATCGCACCTCACCAACATCAGGGTCACCCACGATCAGAGCACCAGACTGACAGTGATAGCCTGCGGGACTGTCCTGAATAAATTTGAGAGTCGTCAAAGAAGGAATGATGCGAATCCTGAAAGTCTCTGATAAGTACTTTCCACTTTCATCAAGTATAGCTGGAAATGGAACATGGTACAAGCAGGGTTCAGGAACAATGATGATCTCGGGTCCCTCAAGTAAGTCAGCCACAGGAGCAATGATCATATTGTAGAACAAAGTCAGATTCAGTTCGGGATTATCTTTATCCTTTCCTTGTCGCAAAGTGGCGAGGGTCTCTTCCTGAGAGGAATAAGGGTTGAGCTCACTTTCATTTGAAGATCGATCCTCACAATCTCCTTGAGGCAAAATACCAAAGCTTCGAAAGCTTTTAGCGAAAAAGCCATCTAAATTGGCAACTAATCCGGCACCAAGTAGTTTTTCGTCTACTGTTATTCTTCGAAAGTTAATGATTCCACTTGTCATGATAACCCAGAAAAACAGATGCTGGTCATAATAAGCTATGTACAGAGCAATAGAGTTACCTTCGTTTTTCATAACATTTTCAATACCAATCCACGATTGCCGATCAGCTGAGATTTGCCTTTTCACAGAGTACTGAGATGCCATCAAGTCTGCTAACGCTCTAGCCCGTGCTAGCTCTAAAACGTAAAGGGCAGGATTCGGATTTGCCGTAAAACAAAAGAGTTGACTGAGACGTCGGTAGGGAAGATCACGAGCATCTGAAAACGAAATCTTAAAATCGTCGTTGTTTCTTAAGAAAGTACACAAAGACTCGCTTTTGCTCATACAATGAACCAGACAATCAAACACCTCCTGGATCTTGTCTTGGCATAACTTCACCAATGCAAGAAAACCAAGTAATTGAAACTCTTTGTCTAAGTGTCCAATGTCTCGGGTAATTGACAGTGCCTTCTCGATATAAACTTCAGCTGTGACATATTCACCATAACATTGACACAATACTCCTAAGGTTCCGTTATCTTCCGCTTCTCCTCGTCGGTCACCAATTACTACGCTTATCGAAAGTGCCTTCTCAACATATTCTTTAGCTTTGTCATATTTACCAAGAGATTGAAAGACAGTTCCTAAGTTTCCGTAACAACTTGCTTCTCCTTTTCTATCACCAATTTGTATTCTTATGGCAAGTGCTTTCTCAAGATATTCTTCAGCTTTTTCGTAGTCACCAAGATATTGAAAGACAGTTCCTAAATTTCCGTAACAGCTTGCTTCTCCTTTTCTATCACCAATCTGTATTCTGATGGCGAGTGCTTTCTCAAGATATTCTTTAGCTTTGTTATATTCACGAACTGATTTAAACAGAGTTCCCAACTTTCCGAGACAGCTGGCTTGTCCTGCAATGTCATCAATTTGTATTCTGATTGCAAGTGCTTTCTCAAAATATTCCTTCGCTTTATCATGCTCGGCAAGAGCTTGAAACACAGTTCCTAAGTTTCCGTAGTCTACTGCTTCTCCCTTTTTGTCACCAATTTTGAGTCTGATGGCAAGTGCTTTCTCAAAATGTTCTTTAGCTTTGTCATATTCACCAAGATCTTGAAACACATTTCCTAAGTTTCCGTAACACCTTGCTTTTTCTCCTATGTCACCAATTTGCATGTTGATGTCAAGGGCTTTTCCAAGATATTCTTTAGCTTTTTCATTTTCACCAAGACATTGAAACACAGTTCCTAAGTTTCCGTAATCTGCTGCTTCCCCTGCTCTGTCACCAATTTGTATTCTGATTACAAGTGCTTTGTTGAGATATTCTTTAGCTTTGTCATATTCAGCAAGAAATCGAAAGACAGTTCCTAAGTTCCCATAGCAGCCTGCTTCTAGTGCTCTGTCTTCAATTTCTATTGCGATTGCAAGTGCTTTCTCAAGATAGTTTTTAGCTTCTTCATATTCACCAACAGATCGAAACACAGTTGCTAAGTTATTGTAACATCTTACTCTTCCTGCTGTGTCACCAATTTTTATTGTGATCGCAAGTGCTTTCTCGATGTAATCTTTAGCTTTGCCATATTCACCGCGACGATAAAACATGGCTCCAAGTTTTCCGTAAACATCTGATTCTCCTTTCCTATTGCCTGTTTCTCTCATGATATTCATCGCTCTGTGATACAGGGTTTTCGCTTCTGCGTATTTAGATTGCTTTTCATGTATGTTAGCCAGTGTCGCCGTAAGATTTCCTTCTTGGGTTGTTTTACCGTACTCGCGGTAAATGTCAAGAAGTTTCCTACCGTTTCTTATGGCATTTGTGTAATCAGGGATTAGACAATACGCCTTGAAGATTGTTTGATAGATAACAATTTTGAGTAAATAAACAGTTTGTTCCTCTTTATTCAATACCTCATTATTCAGAAAGATCAAACAATTTTTGCAGACTTCGATGGCATTTAGACCACGACCAGTGTTGAGAAGAAAAATACCAACAAACAAGCCAACAGAGATGGCTTGTAAAATGTCTTCTACGTTGTTCATAGCGTCCACTTGTATAAACCTGTGAAAGGATAATACAAATGGAGCTTTACAGTCAATTGCAATTAAGTTTTATTTTTTAATTCATGTCCTCCCTGTTGTATATATCAGTGACGGCAATAAATCACTTTAGCTTGAGCGGTTTGTTTTCCCACTTCAGACCACGTGATGTTCTCTATACAATTTTTCTTTTACCTATTTCAAAATTTATTCATACATACACACGCAACTATTTGAAAGTTTGAAAGCAAGAATTCTCAAGAGAATCATCACATAGTCTGAAATAGGGCAACAAACCGCCTAAGCTAAACAGGTCTATTTTAATGCCCTTCGATGAATAAGCATTCCATTAAAGACTCTTCGACAACCGGCATGCATTGCACGCCTCGGCTCGAATTTTGTATGATACAATAACCTTTGTTTGGAGGTGTTTTGAAGTAGCTGTTTCAATCTGTGATAATCTGAGCCATCTAGCTTGATTTTCAAAACAGGTATCTTTCTTCATCAATAGTTTCAACATCCATCCACAGAATAGGGTGATTATTTCAAGAGAGCAATTGCATGGTAGAAAATTGTCTGTTACATATTTAAGAAGCTTAACAACGGCCGGCACGATGTGATTTGCGAAGAACCTGGTGGAAATATTGGACCATAGAGGCTCTTAAGAGAATTATCTGAGAAAATTTGTTCGGGATCGGTGGAGAACCTGCGAAGATGTACTGGGATGTAGAAAAAAATACTCCCGTCTGCTGCAGCAAGTGACAGAGAACTGATTTTATTTTCCTTCGCATTGATGTCATTTTCAGCCTGGATATGAGCGAAATTAGCTCCAATCTACTCAAAAAGGCATTTGCAACATGACAGCATGCCTTTCTTTCCACTAGCACTGCGTTTTACAACATATCTGCTCGTGCGCAGGAAGTGACCAACGTCTTTAGGCTTTTCGGTTTTTTGAATTTTTTTTTTCGCGTTCTCTTTTTCGCCGTTTCCTATTTTTTTCGGCAGTGATTGGCCATCTACTAGGCTTGCTTCCAGTTTAAAAATTTCTGAGAAAGCATCACAGAGACGGGCAATGTTTATTTAGCTCTTATTAACCGAGCAGGAGGTCTGTATGGGAGAATCTTGACCGAGGTCGTGAGTACAGACCGAGGTCAAGATTCTCCTATACAGACCGACTTAGCTCGGTTAATAAGATGTTTATTATATGGCAAAGAAAACTTTAATTCGTTAAATGTAACTGGTTTGCTTGCA